AAAGATTTTCTTTTAAAAAAATAAAATTAAATTAATAGTGAGTTCTATAAATAAACTTAAAGTTTTATGGTTGCAGCTCTCTTCATGGATGCTACTTATTAGAGTAGCGTCTTTTTGCAAACATCGTTCCTAACACATAAAAGAATGTTGTAATGTAGAACTATGGAAGATAGCTAAGTGCACGTAAGAATGTGTGGGAGGGTCTGTGTATTTCCCCAGAATGGCATGAAGGCTGGGCTGGGCTTCTCCTGGGGAGCTGCTTTGTTCCCCTCTGTCTGTTTGCAGCGGGCAAAGCCCCTCATTTCCTGGTGCCTTGCAGATCGCCAACTCCATGGTGAGCACGTGGACAGGGCCCCCAGCCATGAAGTCTCTCTTCACCAGGATGTTCTGCTGCAAGACCTGCCCCAACATTGTGAAGACAAACAATTTCATGAGCTTCCAGAGTTACTTTCTGCAGAAGGTACAGTGTTCTCTCAAATTTTTAGGTTTTTGTATGGAACCTAATTTAACTCCTGCTTACCTCTTAGTTTGGGTCTTTTTTTTTTTTTTTTTTTTTTGGATTGGGGAATCAAACCTCTCAGTTTTGGAAATGGCTGTGCCTGTGTCACATGAACTCTGCAGCCATTTAGATGGTAGGTGAGGGTGTTGCTTCACCACAGCATCTTCTGTACCTTGCTCTGCAGGCTCTGCCGAGTACCCCACTTGGGTGCCATTCTGGACACTGCCCCATTGGTAGCAGAGGAGCTTTCCAGGGGTGTGGTTGGAAATGGTGGCATGCAGGGGTTCGTCCCCATGTGAGGAGAGGCGAGGGCTGGCGTGATGTAGGGATGCTGAGCCTAAAGCTGGGCATGCAGAGAGGACAGGAAGTTGAAGCTACAGGGAGAGGTGGCTTGTTGAGGCCCCCATGACTGTTAGAACTGTGGTTATACTCAAATCTGCTGCCCAGTTCAGGGTGCCCCGAACTCGTGGTCTAGAAGCAGGCTCATGTCCGTCCGCCTGGCATGAACCCTGTGTTGTGGTGCTGGGCCTCCGTGTACCTTAGATGAGTGCTCAAATTTGCATTGTGAGCGGTTACTGGGATGTCATAAAATTAACTTCAGAATTTTTGTCTGTGGAGTTTTAATTTTTAAATAAAACAGAGTAGGCCATATCAGAATGTGTCAGGGGTAACGAGGGCAGTTACTAGACTAAGGCTTGTTTGTTCTTTAGTGTGTATACCTTTCTTCTGAGGAGACCTTGCTTCTAAGAAGTGCGTGTGTGTGTGTGTGTGTGTGTTTGTGTGTGCCTGTGCTGTGTTAGATGATGCGAGCACCTTATACTACCTCACCCCTCACACAGTATTGCAATGGGCAAGGGCAAGAGCTACCCCATGATGCAAACCCTGTCCCGAGGGGAAGAGCCTCTTGTTAGCAGTTCCACAGAGTGCGGTGGCTGTGGTCATTCCCGCCACCTGCACCTTGAGCTGCTGAGTGCTGTCTTCCTCATGGCCTCCCTGTGGAGGGGGAGGTCACATCTCTCGCGTGCTGATGACCATGCTGTCACTGTTTCTGTGGTTCTGCTGAGTGTCTTGGCTGCTTTGTCTTACTGGCAGAGTTCCCCTGGTGTGAGTCACATTTCTGCATCCATGAAAGAGTTGCCTGTGAACATTGAGGGGGGCAAAGGCAGGCTGAAGCACGGGGCATGCCTCCTTTTCTCTTATTCTGGGGTTCATCATCATTTGGGGCCAATGAGGACGCTGCTGTGTGCCACACACCCCAGCTACTGCAGTGGGCAGCTGGCCAGAGACATTGGTCCGAGAGAGTGCAGTGAGAAGCGGAGTTACCATCTAAGCTGATGTTCCTTTCCCATTGTGTCACTGAGCAATGAGTGGCATGACTCGGTACTGCACATTCCTTCTCCGGAAAGTGAGGGCCAAGGCTCTGGGCTCCTGGGTACCCTGTTGCTTAGCTCTCCCCAAGGCTTGGTCAGAAGGCTCAGATGTGGACACCTGGGGGAGCAGGTGAAGATGGGGTGGCTCCATCCAGACAGCTCTGTCTGCCCGACAAGCATTTCTTTGTATGGCTCGAGAGTTGCATTGAACAGTTAAGTGCTTTTAAAAATTTTAATTCGTTTTCTTATAGACTATGCCCGTTGCAATGGCCTTATTAAGAGATGTGCATAACCTTTGTCCCAAAGAAGTCCTCACATTTATTCTAGACTTGATCAAGTACAACGACAACAGGAAGAACAAGGTAAAGTCATCATCTTAACGAACAGTGTAAAACTGCCAAGTGATGCTTTATTTTTAAAGAAATATACTGAGGCTCAGTGGTGGAGTGTTTACCCAGCAGGTGCAAGGCCCTTTTTTAATCCCTAGTACCCTCCCCCTGGCCAACAAAAATTGAGAAAAGACAAAAAAGATTTTGTTCCATCATTGTTGAGCCTTTGGTACTAGAAATTTCTAGAGTTAGAGGCAGACAGGTGGGATTTAACCTGGTGGGTAAAACCAAGATGAATTGGTTTTTAACTGCTCTTTAGGCCTCAGGGTAGAGGGAGAGTAGGTGTCAGACCAAAGAAGCCACCTGGAGCCTGCTTTGGGGAAGTCTGACCACATGGTGTTGCTATCTTGCTTGCTTTTATGAAACGATGCTTTTTTATAACATGTTTATTGGTGGATTTGACTTGTTTGTTTTTGTCTTTTTTAAAACCACTATCTGTACTCTTATTAATTAATTTAATGAATAGTTATTAGATACCATACTTTAAAGTTTATTTCATTCTATTTGTTATCAGTCAAGTGATAATAAGCAAGTGCTGAGAACATGGGCTACACTAGACAGTGTATGATGTTGAGTAGAAGAGATAGTTGATGTCTCCAGGATTCATTTATTATTTAACCATTTATTGAGCAACCACTGTCTATCAGTATGATTTGGGGAGGCCAGCTGGGGGCACCAGCTGTGAGGGAGGCAGGATGCAGTCTAAAAGATCTGAGGAGAGATTGTAGGACTTAAGATAGAGGGAAAGGGCTTGAGAAATAACTGTAGCTTTCAAAGAATAAGAAATTGATTTAGAATTTAGCAAGCCATGGAAAGTATGAACATTTTTAATCTGAAGTTGTCTAATCCACACCCCAGACCCAATCCTGCTTCTGGCAGCGTATCCTGCTTGCCACGTCCTCGAGCTGCTCAGCTTTGCAGCTGAGGCCGAGTCTGTGTTGTGCGGTTTCCATTCGTGCCTCTTGTTGTGCTTGTTCTGCGGTGCTGGAGTCTTGCCCCAAGCCACCGGCTTACTCCCTTTCAGTTGGGTGGGTCAGTGGATGAAAGATGAGTCAGCCGTGTGCTTCTGGGAGGCACACTGGAGCCTCGCACGTGCTGGGCCAGCACTGTGCCCGAGCCTCCCCTGGCTCGCAGCTTTTGTTCTGCGGCGGGTTCTGATGGGGGTGCTGGGCCTGGCCCACTGCAGCACTCCTGCCTCAGCATCCCAAGCAGCCGGGTGCGCTTGCACTATTACAGGCCATATCACTGATCATTTCTCGGATGATAATATAATCTTCGAAACATTTTATCCTTATATTGGACTAGTCCGTTCCTTTTATTCTCTATTTTCAGAAAAAAAATTCTTTTTGTATCCTTTTTTTTCCTTTTTATGTCAGTGCTTTCATCAAATACCTGGTGATCCTTGGTTGTATAGTTATGTGTTAAAGTGGAGCACTGATAGCTGGTTGAGTCCTTGGATTACGCACAATTTGTGGGCTCGGGTCTCCCTTTTAGAGGACATGGCTAGGTTACCAGGGAGTGCCTGGGTAGTAAGCCGTTAGTAAGTTCACGTGTCGCTGATTTATAAGTCTCTTTTGTTCTGTTTTCAAAAGTGTGACTCCAAAAAGCAGAACTGACTATTTACTAGAGAAATTGTGTATGTTTTAGTTAAGCTTGTTTTTGTCACACACACTCTGTTTTCACCAGCACACTTCCTTGTATATCTTTCTTCAATTAGTCTTTGCTTCAGTTTTCAGATAACTATTATCGTGCAGAAATGATCGACGCCCTGGCCAACTCCGTCACGCCTGCCGTCAGCGTGAATAACGAAGTGAGGACTTTGGATAACTTGAATCCTGACGTGCGGCTCATTCTGGAAGAAATCACAAGGTTTTTGAACATGGAAAAACTTCTTCCGAGCTATAGACACACCATCACTGTCAGGTATCCCTTATTTTCAAGTGTGTATTCTTACAGCTATAAACTATGCTTATGCTCATTAAATAAGCTAAAAGGGTTTAATTAAAATTCTCTGATTCTGTCATCCATAGAGAACTGTTACTAGCCTTCTTAATGTGGTTCTTTTGTAGGTGTAGGACTGTTTAATTACTTGAGTTTGTAATATATAGTTTTTTCTTTTTTTCAGAACTGGGGATTAAACTCAGGTCCTTGTGCTTGCCAGGGAAGCACTTATTCTACTGAGTCATCTTCCTGGCCCCAGTATATAGTTTTTATATTCGGTTTATATCTGTTTTCTCCTGTCATCAGAAATTCTTCCTTAGTGTTATTTTTGATGTCTCTGTCAGTTTTATTTCATTGGGTATGTGGTAAAATTGCTCTGTTCTTAGCCTTCCTGTCAGGCCAGCTTCATTGCATAGGCCTATAAAAGCATTCTGTTTACTTTGAGTTTGCTGAAAGTTGGTTACTGATCAAAACATTAGGAACAATTTTAACCTTCTGTTTATGTGCTGAATGAACTTAAAATTCTTGTAGAAAATGTTACGTGGGTAAGTTTACATCTATAATGATACATGGAACTCTTGAGTTTCCAGTCAGGTTTTAAAATGTATTTTCTTTTAACAGATTTTAGATATTAATTATGAAATGTTACCACCATTGTAAAGTTGAATACTACAGAATTAAATGTGGGTTTCTTTTTAATTTACTATGAGAAATGAATCTCCAGTACCTAGGAAGCGAATTTGATTCATGAACCCTCAGCAAAAGCAGTTAATTTACATTTTCCTTTACATAGTTGCTTGAGAGCCATCCGGGTTCTTCAGAAGAATGGGCATGTGCCGAGTGACCCCACTCTCTTTAAATCATATGCTGAATATGGCCACTTCGTGGACATCAGGGTTGCAGCTTTGGAAGCAGTGGTTGATTATACCAAAGGTAACACTTCAGGGGTAGATGCTGGTGTCATGGTAGGAAGACATAATTTTTAAAGCCAGCCTTAGTTTTGGGGGTTATATAGTATGCACAACGCAGATATTTTGATTTTTAATTCTTGAATCACCGATTTAGAGAAGATTTATAGTAAATACTGAATTAATGTGAGAATTGTAAGTGAGAGAAAAGAATAAGATCACACATCTTGTCCTTTTGGGGACATCATCAAGTCAGAAAATACCATGTGTGTTTAAGTACAAATTCATTACAACCAGTGACAGCATTGCCATTAACCCTCTTCCTGGGGCTTCCCCTCACGTAGAACACCTTTATGCCATCATTCTTGTCACTTGGAGAGGTGGTTCTGGAAGTCCTCTTTCATGACTGTCATTGTGAGGAATGACAGATAACGGCGCGTGCTTTCACAGCTGGCCAGTGGAAAGGCAGGTGCTGAAGAGCATGGCAGCGCATCCTCGTCCTCTTCCTCACCAGACCCGACACCCCGCTACTTTGGCTCTTCCCAAAGTCAGTGTGACCATCACTGCAGTCATTTTCGTGCTGCTGGGTCAGAGTATCCAATAACACAGCTTTGAGGAGAGGTTCATTTGGCTTGAGGCTTCAGTCCATGGTTGGCTGGTTCCGATACAGAAACTGGTAGGCAGAGGCACCTGGTGGAATGGTGCCCAGCCCGTGTGGACAGGAAGCAGAGCCGGGAGCAGGGGCGAGGGAAAACATGTCCCAAGGCTCGCCCCAGCGACCTCTCGAGCAGGCTTCTCCTCTTAACAGGAAATCAGCTGCAACACCCCACTCTCATTGGCCTTCCACACATGAGAATTGGGACATTTTAGACCTAAACCATGGCAACCACAAGGGGTAATAATAATTTTGAACCCGTTGAAGGTAGCGAGGTAGCTATGATAAGACAACCAAAGGCACTCTGGGGAATGGATGCCGCGCTGCATTAGAAAGTGGTACAGATGGGTGATGTGCTGAGTGTTGAAAGCAAGGAATATTTTGAGAGGGCTTTATAGCAATGTGCCTTTTACTACACAAAAAAGTTTTACATTCTAAATGTTCACTGTATTTTTTGATCACACTGTGAACTACACTGTAGATTTAATTTCATGCTATTTTTAAAAATGGGAGATGTTCTGCTAGGTGTGGTGGCACACATCTGTCATCCCAGCACTTGGGAGGGTGCGGCAGGCGGACGGCCAGGAGCTTGAGGCCAGCCTGGGCGATAGTGAGCGCAAGGCCAGTGTGAGCTATGTGGCAGGACCTTGTCTCACACAAGCAGACCATTTCTGGGAAATTTCTAAGAAACATGCCATAACATGTTACACCTATGTGTAAAAGTTTGTATCTGTGGAAATAGAACAAGAGACATAAACAAGAACTTCAGTAGGAAAACTAGATGAAGATTTATGAGGTTATTGAAAAAATTGACTCATGCCAAAACGAATAAAACAGTCATACATTAAAAACACTTGTAGTATCAGGTGACAAAGATGAAGAAGTGTATGAGGAACAAAGCGCATTGAAAAGCAGTAATCCATGAAATGATAGAAAGGGAATAAGGTAAATAAATCCAAGCTAGGTTCTGAGGGAATTGGAGTTTTTCAGGGTAAGCAAAGTGTAAGCTCCTAGGAATGTCCGTGCAGACCAGACAGGAGGGTACGGCGGCATATGGCTTCTGAACTCTTCAGGGAGAGTCCCAGAGCAGAGAACACAGCAGCTGTGACTCTCGGAAACCCCTTCTCGAGGTTCTTGCTGAGGCAGGCTTAGAGAGGTGGGAACGCTTGCTCGCCCCCCATTGTGTTCCTGCTAACCCAGCTCCCTGAGATGGTGTGCGACAAGAGGCGGGAGGGAGCTGGTGTGGACTGACCATGCCTGTAAAAGGGAGAGCTAAGCTATGCATTTGGTAAGCCAGGTGTAAAACTTAACCCATATTTCACAAATATTTTTTAGAAAAATTACATGCAAGTAAAGTAAGTATCTAAATACAGTCTACATCTAAAGTTCCAGATTGTAGCACCCAGACCATAGCCGAGAATGGAAGTGAAAGTATGCTGAACTTCTTGTCTGACTGGAGGGAAGCGAAGGGCTGTGGTACTTCAGTACATACTGGTTCATCTGGAAGTGTTAGACAGCCATAAGTACTTCAGTATGTGTAATTTTCATAAATTTCAAAAGAAATACTTGCCATCAGGTGGCAGAGGGTAGCAATACCATAATGTGTGGTGCGCTGGCCGGGCTCTGTTTAGAAAGCTGTCATTGCTTCTTTTTCCTTGGTGATTAAATTATGCTTTCATTTAAGTTATGGTAGAAATAGTGATCTGTTGAATAATGAATTATTTGGTAAAAGAAAAAATACTATAATCCTGTATCAGTCTGCCTTTCCACTTTGCTGTTTAACCAGTTTCAAACCCACAGGGTCTTGTTAGATAGTACAGGCTGGCCTCAAACTTGTGGTAGTCCTGCCTCCTGGTGTTGGGATTATACGTGTGTAGGATGTCCTTCGATGTACAGAATTTCCTAGCATTCAACCCATTTTTCTAGGATGGATGAATGATACTCAGTATCACATAAATATGAACATTTTGTGAATTAATACTGATAGAAGGAAATGCAATACCGATATTATTATGATTTCCAAATGAATGCTAATAGGTTAGTATAATTCAGTTATGTTTCAATGAGAACTATAAATTGACTTTATTATTTATTCAATTTAAAATTAATGATTAATTTATTTACAGTACTGGGGATTCAACTCAGGAACTTGCGCTTGCCAGGCAAGCTCTTATTCTACTGAGCTATCTCCCCGGCCCCTCCATTTAAAATTTAAATATTGGTGCTCCATTAGAGATTTGAAGAAATGAAAAATACTGATAATAACATTTTATAAGTAGAGCTTTTCAAATTATAAAAGCAGAGCCAGCCATGGTAGTACGCACCTTAATCGCAGTACTCAGGAGGCTGAGGTAGGAGGCTCATCCTGAGTTTGAGACCAGTTTGGGCTATAGAGTGAGCTCAAGGCCAGCCTGAACTGCCTAGTGAGACCCTGTCTCAAAAAAGAAAAAAAGAAAAGAAAAATACTGTAAAAGCAAAATCATTAAAAAGGTAGATAGCTAATAGTTATTTTAAAGTCAACTATAGTGGTAGCACTCTTTAATTGCCTTTGAATTATGCTGAAAAACTAAGACTGCTATCAGTATAAATGGAAGAAACCATGTAGGCTGAACCAGTTGATCATGATGTGTATATATAGTGGGTATATTTTGAGTATCAGACCTCTATAGGTTAAGCATCTTAAAATGGTTCTTTCTAAAGGCTTTGGTACTGTGGCATGGTATGTACTTCTGAAAGTCAAGATGATCCATTGATGAAACAGTGGAGAGGCTGTAGAAACCTCCCTGTACCCCAGCCTCTGGATAGAAGTCCAGCCAAGACAGAGGCCAGAATGGCACATGACGCTCCTTGCGTATCACTTTTATTTCTTCTGGCGCTTTAAAACTAACCATGTGTGTATTTCCGGATTGGCGTTTCTAGTGGACAGAAGTTACGAAGAACTGCAGTGGCTGCTGGCCATGATTCAGAACGACCCGGTGCCCTACGTGAGGTTAGTGTGTGCTCTGCAAGCCCTGCCGTGCACTGAGTGGTCTCAGAAGGTTGTGCGTGGGACAGTGAATGGTTTCGAAAATAGAATTATTATCTGTTCATACTCTTTGTCCCTTTCCTTCCGGAACTGGGGAGTGTGCAGGGCTCAGGCTTGCCGCAGATTCCTCTCTCTGTCCTCTTGAGTTGAGTGAGCGTGGAACACTGTCTTGGCAAATGCCCAGGCTGGCCTCAGATGCCTGGCCCCTACCTCATCTGCTGAGTAGCTGGGATCACAGGTGTGCCACCTGCCTGGCTTATTCCTGTCCTCTTTTCAGTGACTTTTAATTTGCCTTTGGAAAATTTTTTTGAAGTATGTTGTTAATAAGCAGTATAAAGTCTCAATTTCTATTAGATTTCAGAGTATTTTATTTATTTAAAAAAATATTTATTTATTTATTTGTGTGTGTGGCCAGCTCAGCCCAC